GACGCGTTCCAGGACACACCTGAAGTAAACACGACGCCGTTCTCACCTTACAACTCTACAACACCACCCCAAATGGGCAGTTCTGGAACTAAACCAGAAATGAATGAAATGACGACGTCATCCCCGGCGAGACAGGACGGGGACGCCGCTAGGGGGGATGGATATGATACTACAACTGTTTTCGACCCCACCGTAGTCACCACGACTGCAAACATGGAAATAGCCGTGAATGGTAAGGGTTTAATTTATTTATTTATTTATTTGTTTGTTTGTTTGTACGTTTATGTTTTATTTTATTATTAAGGCTACATCTTATTGAAACATGTGCAAGTAGAGCGTAGAAGCGTAGAAGACGTCAACAGCTTGGTCAGTTGATGGCCTTCGACATTTCACTTGCGACATTCTTTCCATCTGCTACACGTATCTGTACTTTGGTCACGGGTGCATGCAGGGTATTTAATTCGCCCCGCGTCTCCCCGCTCTCTTTCTCTCTCTCATCCCGCGCGAAAATGCAGTAGTATCGAAGTAGCAAAGAAGCATTAACGCAGTAGTGGTGTGGAGCATATTTGCAGTAGAAATGCAGTATAGCCTACTGCAATTCTACTTCAAAAATTACATAGGGTTGTACAGAGGAGGAGCATTAATGCAGTAGATTAGCAGCATGATAGAAGCATGTTTCAAATATGCTAATTAGCTCCCCAATCGAAGCAGATTTGAAGCATGTTTGCAGTATGATTGCAGTAGTCTACTGCGCTGGAGTATCTACTTCGTTTTCGTGCAGGATATCAAACCGTTTTATTTATTTTTTACAGTTGTATCCTTCGAGGTCCAGAGTGTAGTTATTGGTTGTGTGGTCGGTGCAGTCATCACTTTGGTTTTCTCTCTAGTTATTCGCCTTATCATCTACTACAGGAAAAATAAACATAAAGACGATGCCGGTATCAGTACCAAGAGGTAGGTGTTATTTCAACATGCAATCTTTGCCTGAAAACTGTTTTAGAATTGTGACATTTTTATGCTTTTCTCCGATGTTTCTATTGAAAAAAACTAAAATCTTTAGTGAATGGTTATAGAAATTGCAATAGTAAATGTTAGTATATGTAAAACAGATGCATACTATATTATATGTACATTAGGTGATTGTAATCGGCCAATCAAAAGCCTTGAATTCTACTAAAGGTATAACATGGAATATTAGGGGCAGGCAACAAATCAAGTTTTGGGAACAAAAATGTAATCCTTAATAGTTGCCACTTGGTATTTTTATGCTATAGTAGCTCACATGCAACTTGTGTGTAGAATAAGATTGGATTACTTATTATATTACCCATTATTTCCAATGATTTTTCCCAGGTCCACGCTTTCCATGGCCAACCCCGAGTATGGTGTGTACGGCGTAGTGGACGGCTTAAATATCTATGACCACATCCAGGTGAGTGCGTCCTTTGGGTCACCAAGGCCACGTTGCAGCGACATCGAGATTTGTAAAACAGATATTTCTCTGGCTAATTTTGTGCACGTTTATCCACTCAGAATTTTTCCATGACGTCATTCCTCAGCTGGCCCCTGGTTATGGGTATCTTTATAGAGGATGGCGTGGTCCTATCACCTACTTGTTAATTGCCTTAACGTAGATTTATGCATCTTCTTAAAATAGTCGGCTTTGTTGCATATATTAGTTGACTTTTTCCCCAAAGAATACAATAAATTATCAAATGGATAGCTTGACAGGAGCACTAAATAACGTATACATGAAGATTTGATTAAGAATGTATCGGTTCATTTTAGTCAAAGTTCAATAAGATTTAGTTTCTATTATTGTACAATTCAATTTTACAACAATTATAATTAATTGATCTCTTTTTTATGGCACAAAGGCGAGACAGAACTGGCCACAAGAGTCGCTAGTGGCGCCAAAGACATCAGTCCGCGATGGTTCAGACGCTGTTAACCCAGGCCAGGACATCTATGAGGAAATCCCGTGTTTCGTCGAGAACGACCATTACGACACAATTGATTTCCGCTTAGAAAGAGACGCCAAAACACGCGACAAACTACCCTCCAATAGTGGTAACTATGACAACTTACAGAGTGATGTTCCACGCGGCAGCAAACGCCCTCAGCTCCAAGTGCCGTCAGCGCCCCCTGTGGACCAAATGGCGCTGCCTAAGAATTTAGACTATAAAGCCCCAAGGTATCAAAATAACAGAAAGGCCCGCTCGGCGAAAGCATATGACAATATGAACGGTGAACCGGGAGATACATGTACATATGATGCCATGATTTACTGAAAAGGAGATTAACTTATGAGAAATGAGACTTGCTAGACGCTGTATACATTAACATTTTGAACGCTTTATAGAATGGAATATTTATTGTATCTTATGTGCCACCATGTACTGGCAAACTGGCGATATATATATATATATCCTAAAACACAACGCGCCGCGTACATTTTTGATTTGCCAGTTTCGGCATTATCAAGTGGGCATTATCCATGCCTATGACCAAATCCGCGCTATTCATCTCTGAAAAATCGCTAAAAGACAAACCCGCCAAATGAGGATAACGCGCTGTCTCAACGAACCGATTAGCCCGGACACGTATGCCAGGCACAACTATCGCGTTGGAAATTGGATTCACAACAGAATTGTTATCATGAGGCTTGGACCTAAATATGAAAGGCCTTCTCTTATTATGTCCATGCATGAGGTAACACATGGAAAGAAACTACAGCTGAGTGGATTCCCTTCACGTCGTCAATAGTACTTAATTGACATTGCACCTGCCCTGTGCTTCTCAAAGAAAGGTCTGATACCAGTTTCTCAGAAATGAGAGTGGATGTTGAGCCACTATCGAGTAGTGCTAAAGCCGATCTATTGCCATTTACCTTTACCGACACAATCGGTAAATTCACGCTTCGCAACTGTGTCTGAGTACAGGTATGTGACGCAATGGGGGGAGTGAGATCTGTTTTCACAGAAACGTGTACAAATTTTGAATGCTTCATTCCACAACCTGGCACGCCGCATACAGACTTTTTTCTACACTGACCGGCAAGCAGTTGTAACACAACTTGTTGCGTCTAACAAAGTCCAAGCGCACCTGAGGCTTTTTACTCTTAAACATGTCACACTGAAATAACCCGTGTGATTGTTTACACACTACACACGGAGGGACATCCATATCATCACTCGCACTCGGACCAGTCATGCTTGCTAATGATACAGAAGGGTTGACTTTCACTCGCTCATACAATGAACATTCACCATACACAGGGTCACATGCATCAGCAGCATACTTCATCACGAAACCAGTAAATTCTTTATATATATATATTGTTATACAAGAGTACCCATAAATTGGATTTTACTATTACCGATCGTCTTGTAAGCCGGTAGTGATACAGTCAATGCAACAATAAGCTGGTTATATGTGAACCAGGTCCAGATCCCCCAGTGGCTAAAACTTCATTTAGAATGTATGGGATATCCTCGAATGGATTACTGAGGGATAACCCTGGAAACTAAAATGATCTCATACTATCTTTGCACCGTATGTGGAAAAGCAGCACTTCTAAAAGTATATGTATTCGTTCATTTTAGAACGGTAATCGGACAATGTGTAAGCTTACGGTTTTATATTATCTTTTGTGCACGTGACCAACTACAGGACAATATCGGATAGTAGTTTGATAGTAACAAGTGTATCTGTACGCAAATTTATTTTGTTTATTAATTAATTTATTTATTTTAAAAAAAAAGAAATTAGAGATGGAATAAATAAATAAATCTGCTTTTTGTATGTTTAAATATCGAGCATAACTTGAAGTTTTACTTGATATATTTATTCCTCATGCCAAGTACTGTATATACGGTTAGGATAACAACTGTTCATTTTGGCCACAAAAAAATTCCTGAGGTAAACGACATTTTTCCGATACTTCGCAATGGTTAATAAATCCGTTTCAGTGTGACAGGAATGGCAGTCCTAGGTATGGAAATTCGGGGTCCCATATGTAAATACAGGTTAGGGTTAGTCGAAGTGTTGGGGTTAGTATGGGAAGAATGTCTCCTGTACAATTTTTATTACAGAGAGTAGCCAGCTGTGGAGGCAACACTCTGCAACATGGGTCTCACACGAAGAGTTGTTATCCCTTTGAGGGTAAATGGAGCATTGTTTTTAAAAAATGAGAAAAACAAAAGGGATATCAAACGGGATTTCGATGAGAAAAGATGCAGGCTACTTTCATTGTTTTAGTGATAAGAGGAATAACCAAATAGTCCACTTTTTAAATAGAAGAAAATCATTGATAGATGCTCAATGCTTCTTTTTTCGTACTTTTTTCATTACTTGGCTTTTGCGAGGATACTGTGGTATTCATTTTGGCATATACAGAGTCTCATATAAAATAAACCTTTTCAAATGAGATTTAATTTCATTATCTAAGAAAAAGTAGCAGCCTATCCAAAACTACAATATGGTTTTCGAATAACATACTAAAGGTTATAAAGGTTACACTGCATATAAAAGTCTTGTCGACATATTTTTTTAAAAACCCAGTCCATCTTCCTAGTATAAGAATCGGAAAACGGTGGACGCTGTCTAACTTGAATCTTGAAGACCCCTGTTCCAGAAATTATGGAGTTTGTAAAAACATTTCAAACATTTATTCCTCGTTTTTCAATTAATATGCGAAACATAGTTTCATTTTCACTTTAGAAACGATTAGGAGTGTGAGCACTTCAAATTACTCGCTTCAAATTTCTCTCGGGAGCTGATACTCACTAGTTAAAATGTGTTTTTCAACATAATCAGTTAAGTTCAGCTTGACTTGCAGCTTCAACTCAATAAACCATTAGTTCAATAAGCAGGGTCATTTAATATTGATAAGATTCATATGGTGCCGTGACGAAATCCATAACACCCCCGCACTGGTGGACAATGACACAGTGATGACGTCAGAGCAGTGAGCCGCCAGATTAAGAGAATATATTAGCCCCCTCTCCCCTTCCTGGTAAGAGACACTTACAACAGTGGACACTGTCAGGCTGGAAACTTTGACACTCCTATTCCAGTCATTATGGAGTTTGTAAGGAAAAAACTGAAAAGTAAAACCGAGGGATATCGAGCAAACCGTGCCGGGGGGACAGGCACAGGTAAGAATTTGTGTTAAACTTCTGTAAAGTAGGGTAACGCAGCTAGACGATTTATCGCCTTTTGTACGTTTTATACTACATATATAGGTCAACAGCCGTTTAACTACATGTAGTACTGCATGTTTTAACATGTTGTTCTTCTTAACAAACAGTGTTACGATTGCGATATCTGGCGAGGGATATAATTATTTGACCGTTAAGTGTACAAACTTTGGTGTATGGGAGGAAGGTTGTTAACTTGCCAAGTCGGTGGGTACGTACTGGAGGTCCACGAGTCGGGATGACTTTATTATTGATACATACCACAAAAATGTTCTACCCCTGTAGCAGCATATACTCTTGTTCAACGAAATTCGGTTTTTACGGTCTGGTTTCACCTCAGAATTTAATTAAAGTTTGATTGATTGATCCATCTGTAAAGTCAAGGAATTCAAGCCTGAGGGTATTATTACTATAGGTGAACCGAGGGGGGGGGGTGCTCGAGAGGGGGGGTGGCCCCTGCCCTCCCCACCCCCACCCCAGAATCCACCAGTGACCTACAGGGGTATGTGTAGCCTACTAGTAGTTATTCCACGATATAAATACAACTGAGTTCAAGATGTAATATGGTTCACTTTGAGTTAATAGAACGTGACCTATATATAATATGTCATTGTTGACATAACCATTCAAATAATAACAGTGTCGGGCTAACTGTAATATGTTTGTCAACCAGATATGATGCAAAACACACTTTTTATATATATTTAAGGTGAGGTGAAAATACCAATTTCAATCGGCACCAGACTAAATCTTGATGCATGTATCAAGGACCTCAACGCTTTGCCATGGGCATTGACAAAATTTGATATATTAGCTAAAAAAGTCAGCGAAGACATGCGTATCATGTTTAATACATTCAGACATTTTACTTCGTTAATTCCAACTGTGGGTTTTCCCTTCACCTCTTCACAAAGAGAACAGACGTCTGTGGCTTAGATTATGCCATGCGATAATCCCTCTTTTAAGTATAAGTTTTCAACAATATAATCAGTATCCTCAGCATTTTATATTAATTTTATCTCCAAAGCCCATGATATCTGACAATTTTTCCGCATAATTATAGGCTCGCTCGGGTTAAACGGGCATAAAAACTGTGGATTTGGTTCTCAACTGCGTGGAAAATTATGAGTCTCTAGAAAAGATAAAGGACTGTAGACTAATCGGTGTTTGCTAATGTGCATGGGGCACGCGATATAAGTTGTTTTGCGGTACAGGGCCCCCAGGTGTGCTACGACGATATCGGACTGAAATTTATGTTAATGATTTTGTTCACACAATTCACCTGGGCCGTTGGTCACGTTTTTTCTCCACAGTATTTGTCACAAGGAAATGTAGGAAAAGTTGTGGCTTGTTAAGCGTTTTTTAATCAAGATATAATTGTCCTGTTTTGTCCGTCGTTGATTAAAGAGCATTTTGTGGGTTTTTAGATCTTCCCTGAGAATATCACAGTCTAAATCTACACGCGCTTCGATGAGTTTGCTGTCTGCAGAGTCACTGTAATGAAAAGAAATGTTTCAAGATGGTTATCTAAAATGAAAAACAGAACACCTCGTGGTAGATGACAATAACAATATTGACCATATTTTTGTTTGTGTAAATCCCTGGCTGAAGCATGTGGAATCTTTCAGATTTTCGTTTTATTTAAAAATACTACCAGATTAACATGAATAGTGAAACAACAATAATATATGTATAATATGGTAAGAAAGGTACAGTAACAAAACCAATTTAGACATAATCATATCTCAAACAAAAAATAAAAAGCTTTTCTTTGTACCTTTTCTTACCAATCAAAACATTGATGAAACAACATTTTTACAACTTATAGATCCCGTATACATATCTGGATTAGTAACTTTGCAACGCAAACCTTGTGGTCTTCTTACAATTTCCAGTATGCCCACTCTACTCATGGTGCTTTCATTATTACATTATTTTTTAGATAATCACATTTTGTAACACTTTTCTAAAATACAGTGTAAGAAAAAATAGCTGAACTCCCCTCGTTTTCCAGTCCCAGAAGGAGAAGTTCTCCCAACAGTTGACAACCAAGAATACATCAAAGCCGCCCCCTGCCCTCCGGAAGACCCCTCCTGTTCCCAGACTAAACCAACAGAAACAACGACTGGCGGAGACTTAACGATAAAACCGACAAAAATGCTGACATCGATGACAATAGCACCAACAACGGGGGCGTATAGAACTGTAGAATTTACCAACACAACACAAGGGAATTTAACTGTTATACCCGGTGATGTGACCCCGGGGAGTGATCCCGGACTGCCCGTTACTATGCCATCAACGACGAACGCCACGGCAGGAAAGGGTACTTGTACGTATTATATTAATATACACAGCGTCTGGTTCACCTTGTACAATATATGGATTTGCTACCCTCTACCAGGGCCGCAGTTATTATTGTGGACATTTTTTGGCTGAAGCAACATCAGACCAAAATGACTGTCTATTTATCTAGAGTCATATTTGTGAATATCTGTGGAAAATCAGTCTGTCGCCCTGGTGGAGGGTTTGGATTGCCATTGCAAAATATTTGGAAAGGCTTTAACAAATGTGATTACGCAGTTTTGGGACTATAATAGACAATTAATTAAAGTAAAATATGCATTTGGATTGACAATTGTTTGTTTTTATTTAAACATAATCATTACAATTTAGGATAACAGATAACTTGCTGTTAATAATTATCAAAATTGTGAAAAACGTTATTACTGTCTTTACAAATATTTTGGTCTGTAACACAGCAAAAACCTCAACCATTTGAAAAAAGATTTTCAAATGCAGTAAGTAGTGCAAATCTTGGAATCAACTCTCTACTAAGTTCTTCTAGCTCTAGTGTATTCGTATATTTGATTGATCTCAATTTCGTACATATTCTTATTAAACAGTTTCAGGGCTGTTCATCTTGGACTCTACGACCGCCGCTATAATAGGAGGTGTAGCTGGTGCTGTTTTACTCGTTCTCTTTATTTTGGTCGCAATTCTGCTCTGCTTGCTTTGTAAAAGGAAAGGAGGCAAGAAAAGACAGTGAGTATGAAATTACAGATATATTTTATAGGCTGTCGTTATTTTATTCAGGCGTTTATTTTATGGGACTCACAAGAGACTAAATTGTAATCAGTTTTTTTTAAATTATTCACTGCCCATTACTAATATCGCCAGTTTCTGATACAAGCATAATTTTCATATTTGTAATATTATACAGGAAGAGACAACTGAACCAAGCCTGTTGAAAGGAATTTGGTTGAACGCTACCACCTTGTAAAAACCATGCCCATGTTGTTTTGATAAACTGAAATCTCTGAGTAATGAGCATCGTGAATAAAGCTGGAGAGGAGATGGCAACCCGGAACTTATTACTAAACTCGCTCGTGTTGCCCTCTCCAGCCTACTTCTCTATCTTCCCCCGCCTGTAGTGAGAGGGGAAGTGGAACGCTGGATTCTGGAGTTGTTTTACCCACTTGTAAACGTGTGACTGATTAAGTACAACTCGGTGGTGTTATTTTTATCAAGGTCGGAAATGCATCTCTCCGCAGTACGGTTTGCCCTTGCCTGTTTGTGTGCTTGGTGTTCAGTTTTAGAGGCGTTCTTTTGTCACATTTAGCACGTGATACTGTGTTTGGTGCAAAACTGTATGAGACTGCTCACTTCCCACTCTGCGCTAAGAATCTCATCTCCCATGAAAGCAAGCAATTAATTTATAAAGAAAATGTTAATTATGGTCCCTAATAACAATAGTAATTTTTCGTATTAAGAAAAGATGTACATAAACTTGCATTGCACGTATTCACAGTTGTCTTTTCAGAGAAAAATACATTATTGAACAACACATGCACTCTTTAACTCTCTTACTTACACTGTTTAACCTCTTAACAAATGTATATTGTATCAGTTATTAAATGTACAATGTATTCACTACGATCACAACTTTATATCTGTACTTTTAATCATTTTCATCACGATATAACTGCCGAGGTGTGCTTGTCCAAAAATTATTATGGAATTCGTTTTAACTTAAATATTCTTTGCGTTTTAAGATTAGCATGATAATTGTTGACTAATCTCTTCTCGTAGCAATGTACATACCAACTGTTATATTTCACCCATATGGACATTAATATCTAAATCTTAATTTAAACACGCTAGGAACTATTATTTCATTGTTCTTTAGTGGTCATTTAAGAAAGTGACATTTGCCGTGGTCCAGGTGGTCTGATCTGTCTACCTGATGGTTACTACGTAGTACTCATCCCCTCAAGTAAGCTATATATTCGAGATATCAAAGTGACTACGTACTCTTTCCCTCTAGTAAGCTGTATACCAGATAATGAAGTGACTGTCATCTGACTAAATATTCAGCGTCGATATGATGGACACGTGGTCTAGCAGACGATCGCATTAACCCTAACCGAAGACTAATCTGTGTTGGATGTCTCCAGATCTGGTTATTTCTGGTCATTTTGGTTTCTAATGCTACCTACACATGTCAGTTGACTGAAGTGGGGCAAACAAAAGTGCCTTCTTTGCAAACACATAGACCTACATTGATTGTATTTCCTTGCGGAAGATTTGCCTTACATAGGGGTTATTGTTTGAGTGTGTAACTCGAATTCATCATTTTAAGCCTTAGACATGAACAGGTTGATTGATTACTGTCTGTCTGGGTAGTTTGCGCTGGTCATACAGAGTTTTATGATATCTTGTATGCCATACTTTTTCTTTCTCTTTTTTAAAATCCGAAAATGACAACGAGGTATGAAAACACAACAGACATTTAAATCTTATCCAACATATCAAAGTAAATACGAAAACAAAAAACATTTACTTTGAAGACTTCAACGGTGTCTGGCAATTGTTGTGCTGATCGAATGAAGCTTGCAGCAGACTCAAGTAACTCAAATACGTGTAAAAACTTGACTGCGAGGACCGGGAGTCGAACCCGGATCGACTGCTTGGAAGGCAACCATGCTAACCGTTACACCATCCACGCTGCTTGGTTATCGTCACTTGGCAGAAACCGTCGCTAATTCATTGTATAAAAAAAAATATACTGTACGAATAAACCTTATATTGTTAAAAAATTTTTAGTTCAGAAACTTTTACTCGTTTTGGAGAAGTAAAAAGATCTGTGTATGATTCAGTCAAAATCCTTAAGTGGTTTCATTTCCTGTGACAGCGAAATACATTATAGAAATAATATGACTCCTGTCTTGTCCTGACTTTCTCATACACAACTCTGAAAAAATGATAAAACATGCTTTAACTATAAGCTATGTATTGTATAAAAACGTGTGTCTTCCCTTGGGGTGTGGTGATGTGGGCTTAAAGTGTATTTATTTCTGAATTCATGTATTTAAGGTTTAACATGTGACTCTTGATATCAAAACGTTCTATTGATTCAGAGATAAACAGAAAGTAAATTTTCTCTTTCTTTTTTCCAGACGCGCCATGGCTGAGAACCCTCAGTACACAACAGAGAGCGAATTTCAGCTATACGACAGAATAAATGAAAACCCGGTACGTAAAAGATGATTACTTTCTCTCCGTGTTCCTATATAATAGTAAAAAAAAGTAAAGTTGTGTTGTAATTAAGCCAAGTTGGATAACATACTATTTCGACAGACTGTGTGATAACAGCAAGAGATTGGCTTCTCGCTTGATATTCAGAGATATTTCTCTGGTTAATTTTGAAACTGAAATTGAATTATGTAGTAAGTAATAAGCATGGCGCTTTGTGGTTGGTAAAATTCACTTCTGATTCTTACACATCTTTTTCTCCAGGACCCCGAAAACCCTTACCATGAGCCATACGACCCTTGCGTCGCCCCTCCCCTCCCGCAGTCGAGACCCCCATATGACGGTCTGGGACGCGAGGAGAGGACAAAACAGGATAAATCCCACTACGCTGGTCTTCTCAAAGTGAACTCGCTGTATTACAACAAAAAGAAGAAAAACAAAGGCGGGAAAGGGGAAGGCACGCCCTACGCCGTCGTCCCCATTGAACCGTCCCAGTCTGCTCCTAAAGCGCCGAGCGCCGAGTCCCCAGATTTGAGCGTCTCCAGGGAGGGCAAGAAAGAACCACATTATTACGTCTTAGAAAGTCCCCAAACACAGTTAAAAAACAAAAACTTACATGAACAAAATACTCAAAATACAGATAAGGGGCCACATTATTACACCTTGGAGCCCCCGCCGGCATTAAAACCTGAGTCAGCAGTGGCAGAAGACGAGGCAGATGATTACACAAAACCTGAAGACATTGCCGCTAACAGGCGACCAGAATATTTAGAACTCATAGAATCAGACGACCAAATGTCTGCCGACAGTGGACGCGGAACGTCTTCCTTTACTGGTAAACCAGGATCACGTTATGTGATGGAGAATAAGAACAACAGTAACAATTTTAATGACGATTTTGAGAATGAACAAACAGTCAGAAAAACTGTGGAATCAGACTACACTGACAGGAAGGTTGTCGAGTCTGAGGAAACAGACAGAAAAGTGGTCGGAGCAGACGACATGGCTAAAAAGGGCGGGAACCAAAGATATGTTGACCATCCAGTTTTTAGCATCACGTGATGATCTCAATTTATTTATTTATTTATTTATTTATTTATTTATTTAATTTTCTATTTACACCAAGGGGCCAATATGACCAATAACATGACACTGTGTATGCCATTCTTTTATATATTTTTATTGAGATATGTCGTAAAATTCATTTTATTCACACTGAAGTCTGCGCAAGGGTCTTATTCATTCGATTACCCTTATTTTTTGAGTGTATATTTGTCTATGCAGAGTTACCAATAAATAATAAAAGTTTCACGTACTATTTTCTCCAGAGTGGTTGGTCCATCCATATAGGCCTACACATTTCTTCTTAACCTAGTCTCAGATAAATTTCCGGTCGTTATGACAAGTGGCTTATTTCATTATTTAATTTATGGGGTACAAGTTTATCTATCAAGTATTTTCCACAGAGATGAAAGCCCCCTGGATTAATACTTTTTTTTTTTTTTTTTTTTTTTTTTTTTTTTAAATAGCTTAAAAAATATTTCTAGCTGCCCCCACCCCCACATGTAGAGTTGCGCGCCTTTGGAACTTCTTGCTTTGATTTAAACTAAGTTGAAAAATATTTTTAATAATAATTTACATAAAAGTATGATAACCTCTGCAACGCAAATATTTGATAATTTTTTAAACATAAAATCAAGAAAATCAGGAGTGCGAGGACCGGGAGTCGAACCCGGATCGACTGCTTGGAAGGCAACCATGCTAACCGTTACACCATCCACGCTAACATGTGTGTTAACAAGAACAAAAACAATACAAAACATTAACTTTTTTCGTACACTTTTAATATTATTAGCATTGCATATTGTTTTAAGATAACGTGGTAACTTAATTGTATAATTATATTAATACGCTATTATTTCCTTGAAAGGAAGATTAAAAATAAACTCTAGGCGTGTAAAAATTGCATTTAATATTCAGCCCAGACGTCGACCCATGGCAGTGTAACCATTAACAGGTGTGTACGTGGCACTACTAGTAGTTCTCTGCGTGTTTAACCGACAGTTTAACCTAATGGTTTAACTTGGTCGCTCGTTAACACGCTGCTAACAGCACACCAAATCAGGTTACTGGCTTGATTCGCACCGGTATGACAGTGACCTGTTGTTTTATCTTTGTAGAGTATGCAAAGAATGAGAGAGAGAGAGAGAGAGAGAGAGAGAGCCTGATGACAAGAGCGGCCACATACTGTGTTGGCTTATAATGCTTTTAACCATTCCGCAAATATGTATAGCACTATGTTCATTTATTTATCTATTTTCAATATTATCATTTTGGAGATGGTCACCTTAATGATAATGAACACAGCATTGCTTTGTATCACCACTCACCAGTAATAGTCTTTTTTCATTAAGTCGACTGAACACCTTCACGGCCTTGTATTTTATCATATCCTGCTATTTTATTTATATTTTTATTACTTTCTTATTTTCCTCTACACCTCTAAAATAAATGAGAACAAGCAATCTTGTATCTTTTGTACAGGGAGTATGTAATAGACGTACGAGACGCGTTTAAAGTGACACAGCGTGTGTGGTAAATGACCACATATAATGATAAATAATTACCACTCTTGGTTACACACCTGTGTCTGTCCACGACGAGTTTACCTTTGACCAAACTTTGCATGACAAAAGTAAGAAAATCGAGAATACGTGAACTAATATTTAAAGGTATATACTACACGCGTTTGAAAATGCCCCTTAGTAAAATTATCTTTGTCTACATATCCTGCAAAACTACAATTCCAAATGTGATCTTTAAAACTATAAAACCTCTGAAATACGCTTGTCCTTCATGTACTGAATGCAGACACTTTATTCGGATGTTTCAGATGGTGGCCGAAAATTTCATTTTACCTGGGATATTATCCACTAAATTGAGGATAGATCTTAAACCTGTTTTACAAGAAAAATTTTTAAAAATTGGTAACGTTTGAGAATGACAGACAGTTATTTTTACATTGTTACTTACATCTATCTGCTACAGAACTGTTTTGGATCAAAGTATTATTATAGATCTTCAGTGAAGACCAATTTCTTTGTGAATGTTCTAATTTTAAAAATCTTGTCTCTCTGTCCTGAAAGCTGAAGTTAAAAGAGGGAGGGGGTGGCAAAAGAGAGAGAGATTCTCCATTTTTTCTTTACACTTTCACATACATCAAGCGTGGATGGTGTAACGGTTAGCATGGTTGCCTTCCAAGCAGTCGATCCGGGTTCGACTCCCGGTCCTCGCAACGTTTCTTTTATTTATTTACTTCTTTTTGGTAACATCAGTTTGGGACCAAAGGACATCTCGGAGCTCAGTGAGCAACCTGATGCCTTACAGTATGTAGAAAAAAAAACTACTACCATCAGGCCCGTAACCAGGGGTTCGAAAGAACCGCCCCTTTTGCTGGGAAAAGGTCTACTCTTGGTAAAATTTGATCTAGGTAATGAAGTTTTTATAGAAAAAGGTCCACTTTTTCAGAAAAAGAACCCCCCTTTTGAAATTGCTGGCTACGGGCCTGCCCAGTGAAAGACATAGAAAAAAAACGAACCATCGCACTACTTTTACTTTTCATGACAAGAGATACTTGCGCACGTTCTTTTTATATACACATGTATACTTGGGCCCAATATACGATATACTAGGTCTTAGTACCGAGTACATTACATAGCGGCTCCTAGTTCAAAGTGACCATGTGTCTGCACCTGAAAGCGCGATCTCATTATTTCCTCTATTAATTTTACCTCAGTTTCACCACTGATCGTATCTGAGTTCACCACTCAAAGATAGAGATAGCAGGTAGACGCTGCCAGTCCTAATTAAAGGTTTTGTCACCAAGCCGGGGTGATGGATTATGAAAGAGAACATGTCACTTATCAGACTCGTCTATCGCAGTTTTGTATATGTGTCTAACCTCAGGAGCGTTCCTTCGACTTTTATGTGGATACGAAAGCGTCGAGGAAATGCCGAAGATCTCTCTTTTTACAGACTGAACAGAATGTGCGCATGCGGTTGTTCACGAAAAGATTTATAAACCACTGCTGTCTTCCTCTTCCATCACTAAAGACTGAAGACAAAATAATCAGAAATTCTTGCCTAAAAAGTGCCAAGGAAATCCAGCTTAAGTATATTGTGAATATAAACAGCGGCGAACTGCGTGTACTGATTAGTACGGTAGTAACTTTAAAATAGAAGGAAAAACTTCAAAGTAAGGAAAAATTGGTCGCACATTAGACCTAGAATATATACGCATCGGGCGTGGTCCCTCTTTCATCCTCAGTTGTTGGCAACCTGCTGCTTTATACTTAGGGTCCAATTTTAAAGAGATAAAAGAAATTTTGCGAGGACCGGGAGTCGAATCCAGTTCGACTACTTGGAAGGCAACCATGCTAACCGTTACACCATCCACGCTTGAAGTACATCTCTTAACTGAGCAATCTCTGTCTCTCCCCCTCTTGTCATCCCCTTTATGCGTTCGTTGCTTCAGGACAGAGAGACAAGATTTAATTTTCACAGAGAAGTTGGTCTTTACTGAAGATGTGTAATAATACTTTGATTCAAAACAGTTCTGTAGCAGATAGATTTAAGTAACAATGTTAAAACAACTGTCTTTAATTCTCAAACGTAACGTTACTTTTTTTATTTTCCTTGTAAAACAGATCCATCACCAATTAAGTGTAATATTATCCCAGGTAAAATAAAAATTCAAAGTTTTCCGAAACATTCAAGTGTCTGCATTCAATATAAAGGACAAACGTTCTCCCCCCCCCCTCCTCGCCCTCAGAAGAGCTCATTACGCCCTCTGCTGGTACCTGTATACCTGTACATTGTATGGTGATGACAGTGTAGCGAGGCAAATGTAAAATGGCAGACGAGGAAAATAACAATGATAAATACAATAATAATAATAGTTCGGAGTTGTACAGATAAATGAGTTCAAGTTAAATGTAATAAAAGATTTGCATTAAGATCATTAAAATAAACACAGACCCCTAGAAAATAGTCACGTTCAGTATTGATTTTCGCAAGGATTCCAACAAATAGAATTCCTTGATTTGGGGTACATATATTGAATTTGGATGTGTGATATCTTTTATTATTTTATAAATACAACCCAAAATATGATTGACAGGTCACAGAAAATTAGTTGCTCTAGTCTCGGTTCGCTCGTCATATTGTCCTTTCAGGGGTGTGTGGAGAAGCCAGGAGAACTATGCTCCCCCCCCCCCCCGGACCCCCTTCCCCCCCCCCTCGATCTTTTGCCGTTGACAGAGTCTACTCAGAGTCATTGTCCCGTGCAAATCAGGCAAAGGCATTGTAAGATAAGGGGCTAAGGAAGCAATATTACGAGGCCGCGAAGTTGCCCCAGGGTTATTGTAAGGAACATTGACAAGTCTATCAAGTTTTCCGCTCCAGTTGATAGCGATAATTATGTCTCTAATCATCAGAGGTAAACGTTCCGCCGTCAACATTTGCAAACAAAGGAAAATGAAGCCGAGGAAGACTCTGTGACACACCAGTGATGCAAGAAACTCTTCTGTACTAGGAAAAACCCTCATTCCAACTTTGCCGACTTTTGAACCCGAGCAGGCTGTAGTCGAAGACCCCTGATCAGGTGGTACACAAAGAACACAGAGGAGAATGCCACAGGAAGGTAAGGCTTTTATATGTGGACTGTATGTTGGAAAATACACCATCATTTAGTTGGCTATAGACTCCCATTTTATTACATGGTATATACTTTCACACAAAGCCATCCACGTTTCTCTATCTGCGTTGTCCAAAATACACCCGATTTTTCCATGAGTGTAAATCAACAACGAAGAAGAAAATTAACTTAGACTTAGTTATATTTTACCAGATGGAAATATGCCAAAATAGTACAATATATTTGAGTTCACTGTGCTGCATACATCAGTTAAACTAAATATACACTTGGCACTGACAGGAAGCGAACGATTTTTCTGCTTGGTATACAGTTTAGGCGAAAAGACGACCCGATGAAGCCTGTCATTAAAAATAAAAATTGAAAATAATCTGTATTGTTCTTCCGTCTTCTCAAATACTCATAATAACATCGGGCAACAATAACCAAGCCAATTATCAACTTTTCAATGAATATAATATTAAATCAACAACCTTTTAAACTTTAAAACAGTTTTTCATTAACTTTCATCGTAAATTGTTATATCTTAGCTTTAACTATTTGTTGCATTTGAATATATTGACTACCATAATCAACTATCTGATCACAGTTTTTATCTAACCAACAGAAAGGTTAATCCAGTGTTGGTATGGGGAAGCGTGGTGCGAGACAGACGCGCGGTATGCCAACCATCATGACTGTCACACCTACTACCTGTGCACAGACGGCGAGACGGGCACGGTGGAACTGTTGAATTGCAAGAATTTCGGGTTGTTTGATTTTGATGAGGGCAAGTGCAAGAAACCCAGTGAAGGCGATGCCGTGAAGTGTGCTTCATTTTTTAGCTGCTTGCGGCGGAGGCTGACCGCTACCACCGCTATCACGACAGAAACAACAACAGTCACCACCGAGTCGACGGTTTCAGCCTCTGCCAAAACCCTGCCCACTGCCACTCTAGAGCCCATTGCGACAGCAAAGACAGGTAGCATAGCCAGTGCAACAGAGATAAGCAGCGACACAACTACCGCAACCAGCTTTTACACTATGTCTACTTCGTCCCTCACTGCGTCTGCCACTTCTATACCAAATATTTCTTCACACGGTAGAAAAGTAGCTTTTTAAAAAAATCTTAAACATAGGTTTACAGTTAATATGCAAGGATACCGATCAGATTAGCAAGAAAAAACTACAAATGGGAGTTAACAGATTTTGATGCAGTTTTGATATAAATGTGCACCCTAAGGAAATGTGATTAACTGTCAAACGAAAGAAAATGTCCTTTTTCGCCTGGTGCTTTGGTGACTTCTTGAAAAAAGAATTTGGTCCGTTTATTACAGGCCTACCATTTCAAATCAAGTAAGACTTTAATGTGCATTCTTTTTTCGTTTCAGAAACCTATGGTAACGCATCTAGACACGATACAAAGCTTTCGAACCCGCCGCCAGACGTCGCTGTTACCGCTGGGATAGTCGCAGTGAGCGGTCTGGTAGTTCTGGCGGCCGTCGGCATCCTTATTTGTTTTCTTTACAAGAAAAAACAGAAATGGTAATACGATCGAGATGTCTTTAATTTTTATTTGAGTAACGGAACGAGAGATGTTATAACCACATGATACAACAACATAGAACGACATAGATTTAAGTTAGCTAAAAGGTTACATGTAGGTAATTCAGGTGTGTTACTTGACGTGAGCGTTTCAGTTTTATTCTCCCTCTTTTCTCGTCTCTCTATTCCCCAGCAAAGACTCTCGTAACTCTTAAGTCTGCTTTTGAAGTTTTCATCTAAACAGCCAATTTTTTTTATAAAACAAACATCAACTTTTTTAGGCGCATGAAGTCGGAAAAATCTGCTCACAACCACGACAGGCGCAATGATATGGTAGGTATATTCAGTTTTATTTGATTTATCACAAATTGAAACTTTAAGTTATATGGGAACGACACAAATAACGGACCATAAAACAGGGCAAATTTAATTTAAAAATCGTGTTTTATTTCCCAGGATTTTCCTATTTACCTGGACCCAGAAACTACTCACATCTCCTCTCCCACCTGCCATCCGTCAGCGTACGAAAACCTCGCCTTCTCAGCCGACAAAGACCGTCGGCCCAAAAACCCGGATGCAAGGGATTTCTACACGTCGCTAGACGATCATTCTTCAGAAAAACTACAAATACACGATACTGATGTTGGCTTTTGTAAATCTGCACAGCATGGGCCTGCAAATAAACCTGACGAAAATATGTCGGAGTCGAACAGGAGTGGCGTCCCTAAGATACCGAAAGTCGCCGAACTTCTTCTGGCAAAACAAGCTCTCAGAAACGTGCAAGGCCCCTCTGACTCTGCCACCGATGACAAAGACTCTTCCTTGAAATCACCAACCCTAACCAACCCAACGAAAACAAAGGTTAATGAACTGACCATTAGAACAACCGTTTCACCGAATGCTTTGGCCCCGCCCTCCAAGCCTCCGCGTGCAATACAGGAAGAAGATGATATCAACGACAGCCGTAGCGTTGCTTCCTACCTGGTTCCTCGGCAGTGTCTGTCAGGATTACCGACTTCCGACGACGACGGCTGTTACAGAAGTTCTTCATACATATACGCAACCGTTACAAAGACGTACCAAAAGGATCCAACCCCTCACAACCATTGTGCGAACTCTGCTGAAACCCACGAACAGATTCCAACAGTTCCCGACAAAAGAACAGACGGATATCCTCGAGACTTGCAAAATGAACAGCCTGTAGACGATAACATTTCGGAAATAGAAAACTACGTCAATTTCGATCGAGTCCTATTAATGCGCACAAAGAACAATGAGAATACAGACAACATTAAATTTCACAATCCCGATTTTCAGCACGCAGTAACCTCTGATAACCACGACGTTGCTATTCACCGGGAAAGACGTTTTAGCAACGATTCCGAAAACATCTCTGAATCCAGCATTTATTACTATCCAGAGAAACAACTGTCCAGATCTCCATCGCTGTTGACGGATAACGAAATTTATTACAGTAGTGTGTGTCAGGATTATAACACAGCAGATGAGATTACGTCCCGCCGAAATTACGTCCCGCCCTACTTGGTGACAAAACTAAACTGCGAAGACAATGACGTCAAAAATCCCCCCACGGTATTTACTGTAAAAACGCCAACCGACCACGTGGACAGTGAAACTGTCTACTATTCTCCCGTGTGTGAGGATGATAACTATGAGGAAGAAAGGATGTCTGTACAGAATGATACTGGAGAGCAAAATAAAGAACCATTTTACTACGACCACGAACCCGAGGAAAATGCTTACGCAGAGTTGGACGATGTGCAGAGAGCAAATGAACCCGATGGTTATTCTTCTGTCAGTGATGTGACTGGGAAAGTATAGCTGGGTGTAGTCTTTTGTTTATTTATTCATTATTTTATTTTATTTTTTTAGTTTCTACGTTCTTTGTAGCGACATGGATGATCTTGGTTCTTGAAAACTTGTATAGATCGTCATCCTTGTTGAGTCAGATTCTAGAGCATATTTACTGTAGATGAATTGAAAATTCGAAGTAGAAATCCCACTTAAGAACATGATAATAAGCAAGTTTCTTAAAATTGATTTTATAGAATATATATCTAGTTTTGTTTGCAAGAGAAAATAAAAATAAAAAATAAACTGTGTTGAAGAAAAAAATATATATATATATTCGAAGTAGATTATTTTAAAATGTCTTATCATTTTATCCTATTACTCACGTGGCACAAACTCCAGACACTGAACATGATGGATTATTTCGAGAACCAATTCTTTCATTTAACTTGGAGTTTACTAGTGACGTAATGGGGAAAGTTTCCTTAATAAAATAATATGAAGACCATCAATAATAAATGGAATAACATCCAGATTTCTCCATCAGATAAATATTTATTTTCACCATGTAGGCCTATACATATCATTGATAAACTCATCTTTTCAATATGTAATAAAATCAATTGTGCACCACTAATTACTTATGAAAAAGGCTTTAAACTTCTCAATTTAACATTTATCCCCAAGCCATTATATATATTTATATATCACATCATCTGAACGGCGGATAATTAGAGAATATAAAGTCAAATCCTTTAAAAATTCCTTTACATTTATGGTCCCTCCCATTTGCATTTTAATAATGCTATACTATTTATACCATTTCTACCTAACCCACATTTTCACATTAAAACCCACTTTGTTCTATTAAAGTGCCAGAATTCCAATAAATCCCAAAGTGCCTGAACCCAAATTACAGTAACTACCAAAATCAAATCAGTCAATATCATATGATAAATGAAGCCTTCCATTTTACTCTGCATACTGTTTCTGGCTCCCATCTTTCTATTTTCATGTATAAAGCTGCCATTTTATTCAAAGTGAGTGATAAACCCCTCCACATGAAGAATCTCTGTAAGAATATCTATGTAATGAAAGGGAAGCAGATTCCCACTACAAACATATGACATGTGCTTCAAGTCAACGCACTAGTAAACCACCCAGTTCAAATAAATAGATAAATAGAGCTGTTTTGGTTTGATCACTCCTTCAGACTTGATGCAGGGGAGTTCCTGTCTTCCAGTTAATCACTAGAGAGGGTCTCCTCAGGAAGGTACTGTTTCAGCATAGTAGAGAGGACGTTAAGAGATTCATTTAAACCATGAGGAATGTTGCCCGTGTACCATACCACACGGTACTGCTCCAGCATACCAAGGAGTCTGAAAATTAGTAGTACACAAAATACTCATCAGTGTTAGTCTAGACAGGGAATGTGCTTAAGTTCACAATAAACAAGATTTCTATGGCATTTCAAGGGAGAAAAATATGTAATTGACACAATAATGGCACTTTATCCAAAAATGGATACATATTTAATAATGAGAAAGCTAAATGACAAAACATTATGAAAATAAATATTTTTTGATACATATTCAATAATGAGAAAGCAAGAAGACAAAAACATTATGAAAATAAATATTTTTCTCTCTTTTTAAAACCCTTAGTATATTTGTGACAGGATTTGAGCATCATATTGCAGTTACCTGTTGGCCAGATCAGTCTTTGCTGTAGGCGTGAGGTTAGCTATGCCCAGGTTGATGACAGAGTAACCAGCTCCACCTGGTGACTGGGTGTTAGGGTTACGACCAACACTCACCAGGGCTCGACCGATTCTGTGAAATATAATAGAGAAACATGTTAATGTAATAGAGAGACATGTAAAATCTCTGTACAGGTGAACAAAAGGCATGGAGTTAAACAGCATTACAATTTTTTAAACATCTTACAGTCTGCCATAAGATCTAGCTCTGCCAAAATCTGTTGCACTGTGAACCACAGCCTTTTAGAGCACCATCCTAACCTCCACGTAAATACAAGACTGAAGGGCAGTCAGGGTACTTGTGTTAAATCTCCAGCTGTATAGAACACAGTCCTTACCTACAAGCTGCCAACTGTAAGTCTGCAGTCAGGTGTAGTTCTGTCACCACCTGTCTGACATTGTGTCTGTATACAACACAGTCCTTACCTACAAGCTGCCAACTGTAAGTCTGCTGTCAGTTGTAGCTCTGCCACCACCTGTCTGGCATTGTGTCTATGGACCACTGCCTTCTGAAGCTCATTCTGACACTTACGGATGTGGCGCATGGCTTTCTATAATCAAATATTTAAAATGAAAATATTTATGAATTAAGGCCTAAAACGTACAGGTATACATAAAACAGTCCCATTGAATTTACTTTACAAAGTACTTAGGGACCGTTCACATGAAAAATCTATTTTCTAAAAATCTGTTGGCGGTATCTTGTGATCACGGTCTGTGCCCTGAATACCCCGCAGCGTAATTACTGGCAGCAAGAGCGAGTTACATCCAAAGGTGTAATTAATTCTTGGCTGAATTAATTCAAGGAGGAGATTCTGACACCTTGAGGCATGCGCAGTAGTATCTCAAAGCTTGTCAACATTCCCTGTTGATAAAAATAGTAAACATTACCTTTCCTGAGACCAGATAGGTGAAACGATCAGCAAAGACAAGAAAAGCAGCATCAACTGTTTTTGCCTCCTAGCTCGCATTCTACAAAATCTCATCCTCTGTTGCCGCATCGCTTGCCATCGGATCATGACAGTTGCACTCATATCTGTCGTGTGTATAGCTTCTTCATCTTTTTCGTCTGGTTGTTGCACAAAATCGACAAACACATTTTTCAAAGCAACCGCGACTGCCATTTACTTTCTAACTTCCTACTGTGCATGCGTCAAGGTATCAGAATCTCCTCTGAGCGCAGCCGAGAATTAATTACAGCTTTGGAAGTAATTACGCTGGGGGGTATTCAGGGCACAGACCGTGATCACAAGATGCTGCCAATAGATTTTTTGGGAAAAAACATTCCAAGACATGACCAACTTATAAATTCTCCAAATTGATATGCTTTTGGTTGATGTGATATGCCATTTTGTGAGAATGATTTATCCATAAAGTCTTCTAACTGGGAAGTGCAAAGTCCACATCATATTATGACATTGCTTTACCTGTAAAGTTTCTAAATTCAGATGTTCCAGGTCCACATGGTATGACATAGACAGTAATTTACCTGTAAAGTTTCTAAATTCAGATGTTCCAGGTCCACATGGTATGACATAGACAGTAATTTACCTGTAAAGTTTCTAAATTCAGATGTTCCAGGTCCACATGGTATGACATATTATGACAGTAATTTACCTGTAAAGTTTCTAAATTCAGATGTTCCAGGTCCACATGGTATGACATAGACAGTAATTTACCTGTAAAGTTTCTAAATTCAGATGTTCCAGGTCCACATGGTCTGGTTGTGTAAGGAACTTGTAGAGAGTGGAGCCGTGTTCAGCTGGCAGGTTGCTGTTGTCTGTACCTGGGAATGAACAGGAAACATGCTGAGGTTTTAAATGTTTTTTGGCAATGGTTAAAACTAGCATTGTTTCTGCTAAAAAGGCTTAAAATTACTCTCTTCTTTCATGGTACATATTACGATGAAAAGTTCGATCAGTAAACTCAAATGGAATTGATTAATAATCCCAGCAAATTTTAATTGGTAACAGCTGAAAAAAATCCTCAAAAAAATTTTAAAGGTAGCCAGATTCACATCACAGAGGATGATTTTACTGAAACTGACAAATCTCTTTTGGAGAATTAATAATTAATATCAGTTTTAACTGATAATATCAGTGTTAAAACATTTAAATGTCTGATTAATTACCACAAGCCATGTAAACTGCATCCACTGATCAAAAACATAATTCTCACAAGACAGCATCATCTGCAATGTCACATCTGTCTGATACAAAATAATTGTATAAAGTAAAGTAAATAGCCAACATTCTCATCATAAGTGAACTATCATGTTTATACCATTTCTACCTGACCACACACCTGGTTGGTTCCTGGCACATCTCAACACAAATGTCTCAGCTCTGCCAAGTTCTATGAGTACCTCCCCAGTCACATGACCTTCATCATAAAACACATGGTGGTTCAACAGTTCTGCCAGGTTACAGTGTAAATAATCCTACAACATAAGTAACATGACCTTCATCATAAAACACATGGTGGTTCAACAGTTCTGCCAGGTTACAGTGTAAATAATCCTACAACATAAGTAACATGACCTCCATCATAAAACACTTGGTGGTTCAACAGTTCTGCCAGGTTACAGTGTAAATAATCCTACAACATAAGTAACATGACCTTCATCATAAAACACATCAAACCAAGGAGAAAATAAAATAAATTAACAAGGCAGCAAAGCTGTCAAATGTACAGACAAAAAGCAGAAAATAAAGATGCACAAAATAGGTCATTAAGTCAATTTTGTTGCAATAATAAATAATGCTTATAACAGCACAATCAACACAAAATTTTAATCATGCACATAAGGTCTGCATAAAACTTCTAGGAAAATGTTCAAATACAACTGCAATTTAAAGTAAATCTGTGCTATGAATCAATGCGATTGGTTCAAGGATATAAAGCCTCATATTCATTTATTGCGTTCACAGTGAAAAGTGAGTGGCGGTGACCACAGACACATGTTGTGGCTAAAAATGTGAAGAAATATTGTCTGAACATAAAAATTATTGGACCACCAAGGCTTGTAAACCTGCCTAGACATAACATACAACACATACAGACCTGTAGTCAGCAATTTCAAGAGGGGGGTGTTTTCCCAAAAAGTATATCTTTAACAATGAAACCTTTGTGCATCTAGATCAACTATTACCCAGAATGAACCTTTTCCTGACAAAAAGGGTGGTTCTTTTGAACCCTTTGAACCCCCCCCCCCCCCGGCTACGGGCCTGACATATTTAACTTTTATCTTAAGAGAGAAAGATAATAATAAATAATACTTATTCTCGCATGTTATAAGTACAAATCACACCAGCACATACACACAAACAAACTCCTATTAAACAGTACCCTTAACCTGTTCATTATATAAAAACAGAAATATCATGAAATAATATCTTTTGTGCCAACATGGTCACTGATAAGATAACAGTTATAACTCTGTCCAACACATATGATCATAGTTCATTTCCCACAACTGGTTTACTGATAACACAAGATAACTGCTCTTCATACCAGTAAAACAGTTCACTCCACACCCCCAAGATGGCTACAGCTCATGGAAGCAGAGATGATGAAGAAAGCCTACGAGCCAAAATATCGGAACATTTTGTCAGCTGTCCATTATGCCTTGAGGAGTACAAAGATCTGACAGATTTACCATGTAGGCATACATTTTGTAAGGGTTGTCTGAAGGACTATATTACTGACTTAACACCAGGAAGTAAATTCAGGTGTCCCATGTGTCAAAAAGAAACTGAAGTTCCTAAAGATGGACTTGAGGGCTTCACTCACAATTTCTTCATTGAAAGCTTGCAGGACACTGTACTTCAGTCACCACATAAGAAAAAATGTAACTTTTGTGCATTGTCTTTTAACACTGAAACAGCAGCTACTTCAAAATGTATCACCTGCCATGACTACCTATGTGAGAAGTGTTCCCCATTACACTGTGGTACCAAGTTCACAAAAGACCATAAAGTGTTCACTTTCCAACAGCTGCAGAGCAAAGAGTACCAAAAAGAGATACAAGAGCAGCAAAAGATTTTCTGCCCAGAGCACAAAGATGAGAGGATAAGATACTTTTGTTCAGACTGTAATGACCCCATTTGTCGTGACTGCAGAGATCTACACCATGATGGTCACAAACTTCTCTCCCTTGAAAAAGCTGCAGAGATTGTGAAACTGAAACTTCAGACCAAATCTCTTGGCATGCAGAGAAAACTTGCAACTGGTGAAAGAAAGTTGGTTAAAATTGATAAAACGATGGCATCTCTCCAAGAAAATGAAAACTGTGTTCAGCGGCAGATAAAAGCTCGTGCAGCTCACCTACGTCAACTGGTAGACCAACAAGAGAAGACCTTATTACAGGAGCTTCATCAAACCACCAGCACTCACAGAAATAATTTACAAATTTCCCATAAGAACTGCAGTGCCACTTGCTCCTCCATCAAGACCACAACAGAAATAGTAAAGAACATCCTTCAGCATGGTGCCCCCATAGATGTCCTCATGTTACAACACCAACTTGGACAGAGACTAGATGAGCTACAGTCCACTTCATCTGTGGAAGAAATGCCTGAAGAAGTAAATTTCACATTTTCCACCAACACAGAAGTGGACCAAGAGATATCCAGTGGGGCTGGCCTGGGGAATGTGCAGATATCTAGCCAACCAGCTTTGCCCAAGATCAAACCAAAGGCTGAATGTAAGCTGCAGTTTGACACTGGCAGGGCAACAGTGTACATTTCAGTGAGTCCAAACAGGGAGAATATTACTATACATAACATGGATAATGAGGTCAAGGTGTTTAGTTCAGATGGTACATTTATGAAGAAGATCACCCGTGTCTCAGACACACAGCTGAAATGTCCAAGAGGGATCTGTCACCTCCCTGATGGAAGGATGGTTCTATCTGATATACGCAATAACAAACTGTTCATCCTGTCACCACAATGGGAAGTACAGCAAACTGTAGATGTCAACATCCCATTGGGTGTGGCTCTCAATAACAGCTGCACTAAGATTGCTGTGGCACAGGGTGGCAGAGAAAAGTCTGTGAGTGTGTTCAGTATTGACATCAAAGGGAAAATAACTTTAACTGATGTGATAAAGGACAAAGATGGGGAACAGTTGTTCAATTTACCACATGAAGTGGCATATATGAGCAATGGGTGCCTTGTTGTTTGTAATATATCACCAAACAAACTTCACATCCTAACCCCATCTGGTGACCCACTGTATCAGTACACAGGACCTGATAACAAGTTAGGTACATCTCATGGTGTCTGTGTTGATGCCTATGACAACATACTGGTTACAGACTGTAATAACCAGTGCATACACCTTGTATCCCCAGATGGGAAGTTCATCCAGTACATAGCAACTGAAGCTGATGGACTAGAATACCCATGGGGATGTACCATCAACCAGGATGGACATCTGGCTGTGACTGAAGTTCTTGGGAAAGTGAAAGTATTCCAATACTTGGAAAAATGACATGGTTTAAAATGATCAGAAACTGAATAACGTGTGTTTTTCTGGTGCATTTCTACTACTATAGCAGTGATTTTATGGCTGAATTACATTTCATAAACCTATTTATAATCAATTCATGCCAAAGTTTGGTGATAATAATATTTAACTATTTTATCCTTAGTGAGAAAATATAGAACATAAGACTAAGTGATCACGACCTGGCAATAGAAAGGGGCTGATATACAAACCCTACAACTTGAGAGAAAATGTAAAGCTTGCAACTGCATAGAGAATGAAAAACACTTCCCCGCGGAATGTACAAGATACACTGTTGAGAGGCAATGAATGTATGATGAACTCTTGAAAATCAGTGTAGTGGGTCTAGAGGACAGTAGTCAGGTATTGTCAATTCTCCTTAATCCACCCTGTGAAAAAAAGCCTCAAAGTAATAGCAGAATTTGTAAAGACTGCTGTTAAAATACACAGTTTACCTGCAATTTAGTAGATCACAGCCACTAATTGTCGATAGTGCTGTGAATAGCTTATAGCATAACATGCATTAACATATGCAATTTAGCATACTATATATGTACACATATATAAATGTATATTCTTATATATTGTGTAAATAATGTAATCTAGTGAACCTGCAAATGTATTCATATCATTTAGTGCTCAATAAACTTATTATTATTAATCTCATTTAGGCCACACTTTTTTATTTTTATGGATGACATCCTCTGGGGACCCCAAAATCGGGCGAAAAAAAAAAACAGTCCAAAAAAAAAAAAAAAAAACTGCTTAAGAAAAGTTATTTTTTTAGTGCACAGCTGGAAACACTAATTTACCAAAGAAACACGTATCAAACTAACAATATGTCTTTATCCATGCTCTCAAAATATTCAAGCATTGTGAATAGGGCCTACTTCGTAGAAAGGTAAAAAGTCATAAATATATATGCTGCATATTACCAAATCTATTTAAGGTTATTTCATGCATTCTGTTGGTATAGCAATCAATAAAACAAATATCAAATAAACAGCGTGTCTTTATTTGTACTCTCAGAAAATTAAAGCATTGTAAACACTTCATAGAATTGTTTAAAAAAATAAAGCAAAGATAGGCCTATGCTTCCTACTACCAAATCTAAAAAAGGTAATTTCGGTCGATGCCATTTTGTCTACTTCGACTCACACGTAGCAGCCAACTATCAGGTGGCCTGTCCGACCTTCAGTCCACCAAATACCAGGACGCTCTTGTCGACCCTTTTTTCGCTACAAAAAAACCTGGTATGTGCTGCTTTGGACAGAATGTCACTGAAATTTTCCGGGCGATGATCGCAGGCCGCGGCCAGCCTTTCGTATAATTGTAAAAGAGTGATATCTCCATGTTCAATATCAATGGCAAACCAATCCAAAACGACAGCCCCCGTTCTCTTTATGACTTTAATTGTCGTGTATTTTGTAATTAATGCTAGAGATGAATTTGACGGCAAAGCGGCCATATTTCCACGTGGTGATAATACGCATGCGCAGAAAGCTCATTTTCCGCACTCGGAAGTCTCCGCAGTCGACAATGACAGTATGGAGCTTGCGGAATTAGCTGAGGATTGCCGATTGCATTTTCCGGAAAATTCAATGACGATGTTTGCGACAACCGACTTCCTTGGGGGGAGGGGGGGGGGGTTTTTTTTTTTTTTTTGAGAACGGAAGAAAATCGGTGCGCGCGCAGGATGTCATCCATAAAAATAAAAAAGTGTGGCCTTAATGGCCATCTAATGACCTGTATTTTATTAATACTCATCAGTTCTATAAATTTGAAGACAAAAGGTCCTTTTTACTTAATAGACAACAACGGATCAAGTGTGGATCAGTAATGTCACAATGGTGCCATATTCATGGGGGCGTACAAAATTAGGACCTCTCCTTTTCATTACATTGATAAATGACATGGAATGTTTTTTACCAGCAGTAAAGTATGTGGATGACACTACAGTTTATGAGACAGTTCACCAGCCATCTCCAAGGAAAATAGAACAAGGTGCCAAACCTACACAATCTAAACTTCCCATAGCAGCCTCAAACCTATATGAATGGACAAAACAAAATAACATGCTAATTAATCCTAAAAAAACTGTTGAATTGTTTATCTGTTTCAGTAAAAACCCAACTGTACCTGATAACCTAATAATTGATGGTATAAAAATCGAACAAGTTTCACATGCCAAACTGCTGGGAGTTCATATCAGTTCTAATTTGAAATGGGACTTACATATAGAAAAAATTCTCTCAAAAGCTGAATCCAGACTGTATTTCTTATGCATGGTCAAACACGCTGGGGTGCCGAGATATGACCTCTTACAAATTTATAAAAGCAATCTCAGACCAACACTTGAGTACGCTTGTCAGCTATGGCATGCTGGAATTACCGCACAGCAATCTAAAGCCTTAGAGAACATCCAAAAAAGAGCTCTTCATATTATATACCCTGAACTCACTTACAACGAAGCAATGGACATCACTGAATTACCTACCTTGAAATCTCGGCGTACTGACTTGTGCAAAAAATTATTTAATGAGATAAAACTGTGTACACATAGATTAAACCATCTTTTACCTAACACTCGTGTCATAGAAAAGAACCTAAGGAATGTTTATAGATATGTTTTACCAAAATGTCAGACAAAAAGATATAGGAACACTTTTATCCCATACTGTTTATATACGTGTCAATGATCAAGGTCTATCCATGAACTTTTAGCTTTTGAAAAGAACAACAAATCACCATTTTTAACTTCATTATTGTTTTTATAATTTAGAATTTATCTAAAAGCTCTATTTTAATACTACATCTTTATACTTTTATTCATATACATTCAATATATGTCTTATATATTGCAAAGAACACAATACCCTTACGAAAATTTCCTATAGGATCCTATAGGATTCCTATAGGATCCTATAGGATCCTATAGGAAATCTTATAGGATCCTATAGGGCACATTTCCTATAGGATTTCCTATAGGATCCTATAGGAAATTGTTGTAAGTTAAAATCTTGAGAAAAATGCATATCTTATAAACATATATCATTCTAAACAATAGATATTTGATATAGGTCCCTTTTATCAGTTGAATTGTCAATTATATATCACTTTTAAAGCAAAAATGCTTTTTATTGTTTATAATGCACAATCTTATAGTCTTCTATAGGATTCTATAGAAATTCTTTAATTTCTTTTTTAAAGAATTTTTGAAAAAAATTGATCATTTTAAAGTAATCTTTTATGGAGAAATATTTTATCATTAGGAATGTTTTTGTACCAAATCACTGGAGCTGATTTTTTTTTTAATTTATGTTCAGACCATTACAAAAATTCCTATAGGATCCTATAGGATCCTATAAGATTTCCTATAGGATCCTATAGGATTTCCTATAGGATCCTATAAGATTTCCTATAGGATCCTATAGGAAATCTTATAGGAATTTCTATAGGAACCTATGGGAAATCCAAGGCTAATTCATATAGGGAATTTTTATAAGGCCGAAATAATGAACCTGGTTTAAATATCAGTTTATGATTTTGGTTTTTAATTTATGTTCAGACCATTAAAAAAAATTCTATAGGATCCTATAGGAAATCTTATAGGAATTTCTGTAGGAACCTATAGGAAATCCTATGCTAATATAATTCATTTAGGGAATTTTTATTAGGCCAGGTTGAATGAAAAATAATGAATCTGGTTTAAATATCAGTATATGATTTCGATTTTTAATTTATGTTCAGACCATTACAAAAATTCCTATTGGATCCTAAAGGAAATCTTATACTGTAGGAATTCCTATAGGAAATCCTATGCCAATTCATATAGGGAATTTTTGTAAGGCCAGGTTGAATGAAAAATAATGAATCTGGTTTAAATATCAGTATATGATTTTGATTTTTAATTTATGTTCAGACCATCAAAAAATTCCTATAGGATGCTATAGGAAATCTTATAGGAATTTCTATAGGAACCTATAGGAAATCCTATGTTAATCCATATTAATTGTGAATTTTTATTAGGCCAGGTTGAATGAAAAATAATGAAACTGGTCTAAATATCAGTATATAATGTATTTTTACTTTTTGTGTGATCATATTCACTTCATATTTCATATTTATTGAAAGTCAACCTTATCTAATCAGACTGTACTTGACCTTGGCTGTTTTAAAAAATGAAAGTGCAATCATGCCTAATATATAAAATATAATGTAAAAGTAAGTGAACATTTAGGGTATAGTACTGTCCCTCATAAAGGATGGGAAACAAGGACAAATTAATGTTTATAAAGATAAATTTTATGCTCAATCACTTGTAAGATTTAACAGTCAACTCAGGCCCGTAGCCAGGGGGGATTCGGGGGGTTCAAAAGAACCGCCCCTTTTGCTGGAAAAAAGTCCACTCTGGGTAAATTTTGATCTAGGTACATGAAGTTTTTANCTTATGAAAATATTTGACCCGTACTTATTGTATAACCTTTTTGCTCTTCTGGCTGTTTTAAAAAGTGAAAGTGCAATCCTGCCTAATATATAAAATGTAATGTAAAAGTAAGTGAACATTAAGGGTATAGTACTGTCCCTCATAAAGGATGGGAAACGAGGACAAATTAATATGTTTATAAAGATACATTTTATCATAAACCATGTTCAATCACTTGTAAGGTTTAACAGTCAACTGATGTTAGCTAGAGAATGCCCTACTCCACCAGCCATAACCACAGATTCAACAACTGTGCATTTCTTTTGTTAGCCTGACACCTATTATTACGTCACTACTCCTGTAGCTATTGTATCACTAGTAACAGTAACCGCCTATTAGGTGTTATCAGATGTGTGGTACCCTGTCTAAGTCTTTGTGAGACAAGCAGCAAATGAGTATACAGCTATCAAGACAGTTTAAATTCAGGAGCATGGTGGAAAGGTACAGAGTGTAGAAAAATCAGAGTGAGGAAGGTATGTATTACAGTAATGCATTGGATCATTTGGGCATTTAATCAAATTGAAAATGAGATAATTGATCTAATTTGTAGTGTACCTTGTAAACATCATATCTATATTACATTAAACAAGTTATAATTTATAATGTATAGCTTCCCTTTTAGCCAACAAAGAAACACTGTGTAGTCTATTTATTTCTTATAAAACTGTGATCAATTGCTCATCAAAATATTTCTTTAAATGCAGTTGAATCTAAAAAAAAAAACAATTTATATTTCATTTAACTTTTGGTTTGTGATTTATGAAAAATTATCTATTTAATGTTATCCACAAATGCTCCAAGGGACCATTATGATATATAACTGAGAAAGACCCATGCTAATAAATAACATACAATTAACATCTTAGAGGGGCTGTCAGGGCAAATTTCATTTTCTCACATGTTCTTCAGGATCGTTTATTTGCAAAGTTTTCTTTCCCTTTAATTTCTTTTCAACCCTTTATGTAAGGTAAACACCATAGTTTGTTTAAAATATATTTGCTAACCTATACATAATGGAAATAAAATGTGCATTGTGAAAATCTGATCATTTTGCTTACACAAAAGCTATACAT